GATTTGGGCGAAAAATCTGACGACGAGGTATCAATATTTTTTCAGATTCGGAATCAGCGCATTTAGAGTAACTGTCTCTAAATCCGGACGCATTACAGACCTCAAAAGTTGCATTTTAATCCGGATGAGGCGTTTTTCTCGCAGTCTATTCATTGCTTCGCCTCGGCTCTTTCACCATTGTACATAAATCGAGTTGGTTATCACATGGAACGTCTTGTTGAGGTGCCTGCGCTCGTCGCGGGGTGGTTTGGGCGACTCGCCAAAACGGCTGGAAAAAACCGACGGCTGATCGCCATCGCCATCGCCCGTCGCACGAAAGGTAAACTCTGCCTGATTTTTGTATTTTTTATTGAATAAAATGGTTTGATATGTCATATACTCCATCAATCTAGCTCAAAGAGCGATTCGCAGCCGGACGGGAGCTCAGGATGGATTGGCTGCAAAAGTGGTGTTCGAGCGTCTCCTCCATTCCCACGCTCGTGTCGACCGCACCTCCGCGCCCGCTTGGTCACGATAACACGTATCGTGTGTAGACTGCATTTGGCTCGCGGAAGGCGGGCTGGCGATGTCACAGAGCCCACAGGGCGCGTTTGCGATCAACCTCGTGGCGGCCTGCATTTTAATCCGGATGCATTGGATTTTGGCTGGATCCGCTTTTTCGTCATTTTTTCGTTTTTCGCGTGCCTAGCGATGAGTTCGGGCCAAAGCGCCCCGCTACTTCACCCACACATTGGTATTGATGCATTGTTTGACACAGGGGGGCAAGGTGCGAGCGGAAGCTTGCACACAGGCCGTAGGAGGCGCCATCCGGATTTAGAGACCGTCACTCTAGTAGGTATTAGTAACGTTTTCAAAAATGCACAATCGGGGTGTGTCCAAATTCGGAAGGGACCTAACACCTAACTCGGGACCAGCTTTTAACCCTAACCCTAACCCTACCCTCCAACTTGCCACGTGAGCACGTTAGTCATCAAACCGTGGCACTTTCCTTTTTCGGAATGATGCACCCACAGGAGCCTGATTCAGATTGAGCGTGTTATTTAGCTTACTCTGATTGTCGCAATTGGTTTGCATGACATGATGGGCACTGGGGGAAGGAATGTTTCCGTGAACACGTCGCGAAATGCAGCTTTGATGTCGATTTTCTCAGAAATTCCGACGACGACCTATATTTTTTATTGCAGATCCAAAATCAGCGCAGTTGATAGTCCCAAGTGACAGACTTATCTGGTCGAGATCCATTGGATGCGGAATGGGTGGAAGCGTTTTTTTGCGAAAAAAGGGCAAAAAAGTGCAAAATTCGCCTTCAAACCCGATTTGGGCGAAAAATCTGACGACGAGGTATCAAAATTTTTTCAGATTCGGAATCAGCGCATTTAGTAGGTATTAGTAACGTTTTCAAAAATGCACAATCGGGGTGTGTCCAAATTCGGAAGGGACCTAACACCTAACTCGGGACCAGCTTTTAACCCTAACCCCGAACCCTGAGCCTGCTTTTAAGGGACCTAACCCTAACTCGCGGGCAGCTTTTAACCCTAACCCTTATACTCGCCTCGTGATCCAATGCTCCCGACGGACAGTAATAAAATCAAGCCCGGCGGCGGTTTCCTTTTGTGGTCATGTTGTGCCAAACGGAGCCTGAAGAGGGACGCTCTGTTTTCCAGATCCGGCATCCCGGCTCCGTTTCAATCTCCCTGCTTGTTTTTGTGTTTCTGCCCCGCAGTTTCCATTTTTGGCACGAACCCCATCAGCGTTTATGTGCACTCTCAAATACTCATTTGGAATCAGCGCATTTTTTTGATCACAATGTTCACCTCACTGTTTTCGAAAACATGATGTGGGGGAGAGGATTTGTCGCAACATTGCAAAAAAACACATTCAAAGTCGATTTGCACAAAATTGAGAACAATGAGGTGCACTTTTTATTACAGATTTGGAATCAGCTATGTTTGCAGATGGAAATGGTCATGAAACTTGTTCTGTAAAATGGGGGGGGGGAGAAATGGATTGTCAACAAAAGTGCACCAATTGCTAAGTTCACTTTTGAGGTTGATTTGCTCGAAACCGAGGCCGACAAAGTGCACATTATATTGTAGATTCGGAATCAGCGCGTTTTCTAGATGAATATGAAAGTGAAACTTTTTTTGCAAAACGAGACAGAAATTGTGGCAAAAGCGGAATATTCACCTTTCAGGTCGATTTACACGAAAACGAGTCCGATGACGTATACCTCTTCATACAGATTCAGAACCGGCGTAGTCTGTAGTTTAACATGGCCATGAAACTTGTGATGCACGAAAACGAGTCCGATGACGTATACCTCTTAATACAGATTCAGAACCGGCGTAGTCTGTAGTTTAACATGGCCATGAAACTTGTGATGTAAAATCAGAGGGGAAGAAATGGATTGTGAAAACAGCGAAAAACTGTGCAATTTTCTCCATTTTTGGCGATTTGCACGAAAACTAGACCTATAAGATATACTTTTCATTACAGATTCGGAATCAGCACAATTTTTCGAACAAGATGGTCATCTTACCTCTGCTGTAAAAAGTGGGTCCAAATTCGGAAGGAACCTAACGGGAGGCAGCCTTTAACCCTAACCCTGTTTGTCATTCTTTTTGCTTGTTTTGTTTCACCTTCTTGTCGCTCGTTGTATTGTTTGATGAGTTATCACTTAGCCTCCTTCCATTGCTTTTCGCCACATGGCCTTGTTTGTTGACCCTTTTTGCTGATTTGTTTTTGATTGTTTTGCTAGTTTGTATGGTTTCTGGCTTTTTGTTTCCTTTGATTGTTTCAGTTTTGTTCGATTTCGCCCCATTCTTCGTTCGTGCACGACTTTTGCTGCTGGACGAGTTGCGAGTTTTATGTTTTTATTCTTCTTCGACATTACACCTCGATTTGTTTTGATATTTTGCAATTTCTGCTGTCTTCGCTTGCTTTCAACCCGAACCCTTTGGTTCGGCGCTTTTCGTTTGATTCTTGTTTGTTCTGTTTGTCCAAGCGCAGCTCGAACGAGTGTTTTTTCCCAGGAACGCTTCACTTCCTTTATTCGTTTGCTTCTCGTACGCTGTTTTCGTGTTTGCGCATGCTCCATGCATTTTGCTTTCCCTGTCACGTGAGTGTCACAATGCTCCCATAGTTCTTTAACGTTTTCACTTTATTCAAACATTTGCTTCTTCATCGTCCGCTGGCGACTTTACATCGATCCAATCTTCTCTGTCTGCAACTCCGAGCAGAAGCTTTTGTAGCTCCTGCTCTTTTGCAGCGCGTAGTTGTCTTTCGTCAGCGAGCTCCAGCTTTGCGGCTGCGAGCTCCTGCTCCTTCACTGCGATCTCCTGCTCCTTCGCCGCGAGCTCCTGATCCTTCATCGCGAGCCTCTGCCGTTCGTCAGAGAGCTCTTGATCTTTGGCAGCCAACTCGGAGCGCAATTGCTGATTTACAGTTGCAAGAGTGACGGGACTCTGAGGCTCAATGCTTGCGGCGGCGGGAGCGGCATTCAGCGCCGACGTGGCGGGCGACGGCTCTTTCTTGGGTTGGACTCTGTTCAACAATAGTTTCAGCCAATGCATCTAACCGTTGTGTTGTGCATTTTTCTTCTTGCGAATACTCAGAGTCTTACCTCATGTGCTTACAGGTAGTGCCTTTATTGCCCGTTTGTGTCAGTGCATCGACTGCACCTCGGGACAAGAAGTTCCCGTCCAGGCTGTTGTCGGATGATTCATAGCATGAGTCTCGTGACCGTCCGAGCATTTTCCGCAATCAATTTTTACTCAAGCTTCTTCAGTGTCTTGTTCACTTTGAGCGCCTCGACAATGGATGGAACTGCGGCATCGCCTATTTCATTGTGCCACAGACTGTTCGTCCCTTCCCATCAGTGAGCCAGTCTTGCTGTCTAACTCCTGTAGTCACCCACGCGCGCTTTAGTGGCAGTGTCTTACAAAAGCTCAGTGAGCGTTGTGTTCACTTTGAGCGCCTCGGCAATCGCCTGAGCTCCAGCATCACCAATCTGACTCAAGCCCAGACTGTCCATCCTCCAGCAGTCAATACTCACAATTGCTTGTGCTGAATCATCCACTCTCATGCACCAGTTAAAGTGACGCGACTTACTTGAGCTCCTTCAACGTTGTGTTCACTTTGAGTGCCTCAGCAATCGCTTGAGCGCCGGCATCGCCAATGTGATTCCAGCCGAGACTGCCCATCCGCTCCACTCTTAGTGCCTTTTGTTGAACAGTCCCTCACTCCCGTATATCCGTCCGACTGAAATGCCTTACGTGAGAAAAGTCAGCCTGGTGTTCACTTTGAGTGTCTCAGCAATCGCGCGCGCTCCAACTTCGCCAATCTCATTGTGGAGCAGACTGTTCGTACCATCATCCATCGTTGAGCACTCTGAATGCTGTGCTGGATCACAAGCACAAACAACTTACCTGATCATGGTCACTGTCGTTTTCACTTTGAGTGCCTCAGCAATTGCCAGTGCTTCAGCGTCGCCGAGCTTTCTGGCAGACAGACTTTTCCTCCATTTCGTCAGTGCACCCACTGCCACATTCATTCCAATAAACTCGGCTTCGTACTCGACATAGTTGAGCTCATTCGTGACTTCGTCATACAGCTCGCGCTGTCTCTGATTCATATTCGCATACGTCAGCATCATTCGAAGTGTGGTAAATCAAAACAGCGAAACACAAAGACTGAACAACCTCAAAGCCACCCAATCCCGGTGCGCATTGGCTCGTTCCAGGTCCGTGCTCGGCATTTTTTTTTGTATTACGTTTATTGGAGAGTGGAAAAAGCTTCTAAGGCTCAAAAACCACAAAGAGGAGGATCATGATCAGGGGCAAGGAGTAAGTGACAAGGGCAACGTGTTTAACTTATTCTTGCGGTTGCAAGTTTGGTGTTAGCGTCCTGGTCATACGGGCGCCGCTTGGTGACTCGGTTTGCTCATGCTCACCGGGTTTCGGGGGTAGAAGTGAAATGGTGGTCTTCTCTTCTGACCTGACAATGCACTTTCCCCACATCTTCGACGTGGGAGAGTCAGCAGGCGGGGCTCGCGGCACAATGTCCTGCAGGGCGCGGGAGTGGACGAGTTTGATGAAGGTGGTGTGGCTGGGTGTGAATGTGTTGTTGATTTTTGCTTCGCAGCGGGTGCGCCAGATTGCCCAGCGTCCGAGGTGGTACAGGATCGTGGCAAGCGCTCGCATTTCCTTTTTTCGCGCAAGCGTGGTGGGGAAGGGACCGAACAGGAGGGCTTTGTCGAACATTGGGAGGGAACTTGAGTGAGCGTGCTGGAAGATGGCGTTCGCGGTTTCCCAAACCGCTTGGGCTGTGTGGCAGCGGACAAGGATGTGGTGCCAGGTCTCTCTGGCCGAGCGGCCGTCGTGTTTGCAGTGCGCGCAGTCGTAGCGCCCAGTGGCAATTCTGTCGTCGTACTCTTCGCGGGAGAGCGAGCCGGCGCGCAGCGCTTGACCATCTGTTTCGAGCCAGTCGGCGCCCAGTCGGTTGGTGCGGTGTGCAATGCGCCAGAGCAGGGAGGCTTGCTTGGATGTGACTAGACTGGTTCTGATGGAGTTGGCCAGTGATTCGAAGGGCACGTAGCCAACTTTGTTGATCCACCATTGGAGGGCGTCTGGTCTCGAGGGACGTGGAGTGAGCAGCTGCCTTAGCGTTTTCAGTTTGAGCTTGTGCGATGTGACTTGCAGGGGCTTCTGGACGCTTGAGTGAACACCGTTGAGGACGATGTTGCTCCAGATGAGGGGCATGAGTTGAGTGCGGCCAACATGGTACAGTTGCTTTCGTGGGAGGAAAATCTTTCCCCGCTTGTTTGGTTCAGGCTTAGCGTTGGGAGCTCGCCAGTAGACGACGGTGGCGTGTTGCGCGGTTGCCAGGCGGAACTTGGTGAGGACTAGGCCTGGCTGGGCAGGCGCGATCAGGGCGTTCTCCGACTCGTAGAACACTTGGCCGGCTCCGAGTGAGCTGCTTGTGAGCGGGCTGCCCGTGCGGAGTTTGACAACTCTGAAGAGTTTGGGATTGGCGTCGTCGTCGTCGGCTGGTTGGGCCCAGCACCACGGTAGATCTTGCACTGACGGGATTGTGGCGCTATCCTGCTCTACGAGCGACGAGAGCTGGCTCCGGTCGAGTGCCTCGTGGAGCTTGTTGTAGTATTTTGCGTTGGTGAAGCTTTGGACGAGCGAGAGCGGGGACCACTCTTCTCTAGCTGGGTTACCGATGAAGCGGCGCAGGTCGCGGACGCGCATGTATCCGTTGAGGATCCAGCTCGGCCACCAGAGCGGCTTGCCGTCGTCCTGGATGTCCGGTGAGTCCCAGAGCGGGTGAGTGAGCGCCTCGTCGCGGCAGGCAGGGGTTTGGAGCTCTGGCCTGAGCTCGTGCCATGCCTCAAAGGCTTTGTGCCAGAATGCAGAGATGCCAATAAAGTCTGACGAGGCCTTGATCACCAGCCTGAGCACGTTGAGTGGGCATGCTGGCTTGTCTGCCGCACGCCAGAGGCGGACAGCAATGTGCTTCCATGGGGCAGCATACGGCTGACACCATGCCAGGGCGGCTTGGGCGAGGAGGGCTTTGAGGTGACGCCGAACGGGGATGAGTCCGAGTCCGCATGCCACGGATTTGATTGGTGCTGCGACGTTGGCCTGGTGAGTTCGCGACCATTTGCTTGGGTGCCAGAGGAACTTGTCGATGGTGCGGGTGAGTTTTGCTGTCTGCTCGGACGAGAGGGGCACAAACCTCGCTCGGTACCAGACTTTGGACAGCGCAATGGTGTTGGCGATGAGCACACGACCTGGGAGTGACGGTCCGTGGACGAGCCATCTCGACAGCTTGCCGTGCAGCTTGTCAAGTAGGTCGCCAAAGTTTGCGACGGTCAGATCACCGTGGCCGAGCATGACGCCGAGGTAGCGCGTCGTAGAGTTTGGTCCAACCCACTCGAGGCCTTCCAGGTCGGGGGGAGGCTTGCGCGTTGCAGTTGGTCCGAGCGGGATGATGGTGGTCTTTGGTGCATTGATTTCCAGATTTGTGGCCGTCCCCACAAACTTGAGCTCGTTCAGCAGGTTTGGGACGTCTGCTGGTGAGGCGAGAAAGTAGGACGAGTCGTCCGCGAAGAGGGTGGGGAGAATGACAAGATCGTCTGGCCGGTCCTCATTCGCTCGGCCACGCTTGCGATCGGCTTTGAGGTTGCTGCTGGGGATCCGCAACAACTTGAGCTTTGTGCCGTAGGTGATGTAGTCTACGATGGCGCAGGCATAGAACGCGAAGAGTGTCGGCGAGTCGCAGCCTCCCTGGCGCACCGACCTTTGGATTGGAAAGTGATCCGAGACCCGGCCTTGGTACACCATCGCGGAGCGGCCATTGGTGTTGTAGAGTTTGATCATGTTGATGTAGCCTGGCCCGACTCCGTACGCTCTGAGTGCAGCATACAGGAAGTCGTGTGAGACCTTGTCGAACGCCTTGGACGCGTCTGTCATGGCAATCACTCCAGGGGTTTTGATGGTGTTGCACAGATCTATCACATCACGGGTGAGATGGACGCAGCCATCGATGGTCCGAGAGGTGACAAAGCCGTTTTGGTTGAGTGGTATGATGTCGTTGACCACCAGCTGCAGCCGAGCGATCACTGCTTTGGTCAGGAGTTTGAAGTCGCAGTTCAGCAGCGAGATTGGTCGGTAGTTGCCAAGGTCAGAGCGCGGGCCTTTCTTGTACAGCAGCTTGACGAAGCCGTCCTGCATGTATTCCGGAAGGCGGCCATTTTTGAGTGAGCGGTTGGCGATGGCGGCGAGGATTGGGGCCAGCTCGTGCTTGAACTTTTTGTAGAACGCAGTGCCCAGCCCGTCGGGCCCTGGGGACTTGCCAGATGCAGTTTTGTTGATGGCGTGGACGATCTCCCATGCCTCCAGCGGTCTGCTCATCAACTCGTGGTCCTCGTCGTCGAGCATCTCGTTGGGCTTTGCATGGCTGAGGATGTGCCGGGCAGCTGCTGGGTCAATGGGTACGTGCGCATAGAGCTTAGCGTAGAAATCTCGCTGGGCGTCCGTGATGCCGGCCGCATCGGTGACTTCTTTGCCGTCGACGAGGAGCATTGGGATGTGCGTCGCCTTTTGGGACTGCTTTTCGAGCGAGAAGTAGAAGGAGGTGGGGTGTTCGCCCTCGGTGCGCCACTTTTTGGCCGAGCGGACTCGTGCTCCTTGCGCGCGATGCTCGAGCTCAGCTTTGACACGGGCTTCCTGCTCCGCTCGTTCGGCTGCAAGCAGTTTTGCCTCTGCGGGGGATGTTGCTGCGAGGAGGTTGCCTTCGATGATTTTGAGCTTGCGGCTCGCTTGGGCCAGAGCCTTCGCCCGGTCTTTCGCAATGGAGCCGCACAGGCACTGGGCTAGCCATGCTACGTCGGCCTTGAAAGCAGTCCAGTGGTTCTCGGGGTCGGGGCGGCGCGCCAGCTCTGCTATCTCGTTGAGTACCATGCCGCAGAAGCCAGCGTGTTCAAGAATGGTGTCGTTCAGCTTGAAGGGTGGAGTGCATCTGTCTTCCGCGGACGGCGCCACCAGGTTCACACAGACGCCTCGATGGTCCGAGTGTTGGTAAATCCTGGTCGCAGTCGACTTGATTGTGAGCGGGAGGTTGGATGACAGGAGCATGAGGTCGATGCGGGAGGCTCGGTGTGTCTGGTTTTTGCTCGGCCATCGTGTGTATTCGACAGGGTCATCGGCGCGGTGGTTGAGCAGCCAGGCATCCTCGAGTGCGTGCTTGTTGATGAAGTCCTTGAGAGCGTGGTTTGCCTGTGTGGCGCTCCTAGCCTCTTGGTTTGGCTCTGGTTGGACGTACAGGGGGCTGATGTTTGGTGTGTTGTTGAAGTCGCCGCCGATGATGGCGGGCAGCCTTGGCTCGTCGTCGTTTGGCTGGGTGGCTGACTTGATGAGGTCGCTGAGTTGGTCCAGGAACGCCACTTTGTCAGCTTGTGAGCCAGATGCCGGGGCATAGATTGATGAGATGATGGTTGGCTTGCTGTTGAGGTTTGCTGTGATGATGAGGGCTCGCCCTGGGATGGAGCTGAGTAGTGTTGGGCTCGCGAGTGCGGGGTCGGTGTCGCCCGGTGCCGGCTTCCTGATGAGGATGCCGACCCCGTGCTTGGGATCCGGCTCGGAGCTCCAGAAGCAAGTGTAGTCGCGGAAGAGGTTGGAGGCGGCTGCTTCGGTCGCTGGCGTGAGCCAGGTTTCCTGAAGCAGGATGACGGTTGGAGGAGTTGGGCGGCCGTTGTAGGTGGTGGCCGGATTGGAGAGTGCATGGATGAGAGAGGCGGAGGAGGAGGAGAAGAAGGGGAGGGGCGCATTGCCCCCTACAGAGAGGGAGCGCGCATTTAGAGTGCGAAGAGAAGGCCGG